ATCAATAGAACAAGCAAATCAGTCCTTACGGAGACCACAAAGACAATGGCTAACACTTATTTTGCACTACATGTACATGAAATGAATCATAAATGTACCTGCATGTGACATATATGCACTGCAATAAAACATTAGACATAATTATAAGCATCCTCCTGAAAACCACAACTTGTGCCTGGTAGTATTTGACCTAAAGCCATCATCATCAATATGCATTAAAATTCATAAAGCACTGATTTTAAATTCCTCTCTTACTGGTACTTGCAATGAACCAGAGCTCAACCATTTTGTCAACTATCCCAGCATGATGAAGATGGTAATGGGAGTTTACTTCTGCTCTTTGCTGTTCATCAATAACTGTCACATATATATATGAGTGTGTGGATGGGGTTTGACAGAATAGAGAATAATAGGCATTAAAATGCTCCTCAGGGTGCAGCTTGATACGACCGCAGAGGTCGAACCCTGAACAGTTGGGGCAAGTATGGACACAACATTCAAGCTTGATACAGCTTTGCATTTGGATTGTGATTAAATATTTGACACAGCATAGGTTTCTGACACAGAATGAATGTGGTCTAAGAACTTAAAAATTTTAAATTGGACATTCATATATTATGGTCCAATATCCAAAATCTAAATACATGGTTAGAATCAGCATATCAAAGAACCCCAAGAATTCAATTTTTGATGAAATCAAACAAAGTTTAATTTTGGACCCTTTTGACCTCAATGTGGACAAAGTTGATAACAGGGCCCAAAAATCAAAAATCTAAATACATGGTTAGATTCAGCATATCAAAGAACCCCATATATTCAATTTTTGTTGAAGTCTAAAGTTTAATTATGGACCCCGATTTGGACCAACTTGAAAACTGGGTCCATAATCAAAAATCTAAATACATGTTTAGATTCAGCATATCAAAGAACCCTAAAAATTCAATTTTTGTTAAAATCAAACTAACTTTAATTTTGGACCCTTTGGACCTTAATGTAGACCAATTTGAAAATGGAACCAAAAATTAAGAATCTAAATACACGGTTAGATTCAGCATATCAAAGAACCCCAATAATTCAATTTTTGATGAAATCAAACAAAGTTTAATTTTGGACCTTTTGGACCTCAATGTGGACCAATTTAAAAACGGGGCCCAAAATCCAAAAACTAAATACACGGTTAGATTCAGCATATTAAAGAACCCCAAGAATTCAAGAATAAAACCCCATTGAAATTGGTCAAGAAATAAGCAATTTATACGAAGTATCTTCTTTTGCACAATACTGTGCAATTAAATATTTCTTGCTATTGCGCAATACTGTACAATTGACAATTTCTTGCTATTGCGCAATATTGTGCTATTGGATATTTCTTGCTATTGCGCAATACTGTGCAATTGAAGATTTCTTGCTATTGCGCAATACTGTGCAATTGAAGATTTCTTGCTATTGTGCAATACTGTGCGATTGAAAATTTCTTGCTATTGCACAATACTTATTATATAATAATTTACACATCCTGTTTGGTGTGTATCTCCTACCATATCATTATTATTTGCTTTTAAATATAAATCAGAAATAACCAACTTAAAATGGAAAATTTTAAAAGAAAAAAAAAAGGAAAAAAAAAAAAATCCCCGCCCAAATTTTTTGAACCCCCTTATGATTCATCACCCCCAAACTCAATCCCAGCCGTCCCTTTGTGGTATGGTACCTTGCAGTACAATTTCAGAGAGATCCATACACTTGAACACAAGTTATTGTCTGGAAACTAGAAAAATGTGTTTTTTGGCCCCTTTTTGGCCCCAAATTCCTAAACGTTTAGGGCAATTACCCCCAAACTCAAACCCAGCTTTCCCTTTGTGATATGGAACCTTGTAGTACAAATTCAGAAAGATCCATACACTTACACACAAGTTATTGTCCTGGTACTAGAAAAATACTTTTTTTTTGCCCCTTTTTGGCCCCTAATTCCTAAAATATTGAGGCAATTACCCCCATCATCAATCCCAGCCTTCCCTTTGTGGTATGGTACCTTGCAGTACAATTTCAGAGAGATCCATACACTTGAACACAAGTTATTGTCTGGAAACTAGAAAAATGCTTATTTTTGGCCCCTAAATCCTAAACGTTTCGGCAACCTTGTAGTACAAATTCAGAAAGATCCATACACTTACACACAAGTTATTGTCCTGGTACTAGAAAAATGCTTTTTTTTTGCCCCTTTTTGGCCCCTAATTCCTAAAATATTGAGGCAATTACCCCCATCATCAATTCCAGCTTTCCCTTTGTGATATGGAACCTTGTAGTACAATTTCAGAAAGATCCACACACTTACACACAAGTTATTGTCATGAAACTAGAAAATTTGCTTGTTTTTTGCCCCTTTTTTGGCCCCTAATTCCTAAAATTTTGAGGCAATTACCCCCAAAATCAATCCCAGCATTCCTTTTGTGATATGGAACCTTGTGGTACAATGTCAGAGAGATTCATACACTATCACACAAGTTATGTCTGGAAGTTACAAAAATGCTTATTTTTGGCCCCTTATTCCTTTACTGTTGGTACCATAACCCCCAAAATCAATCCCAACCTTCCTTTTGTGGTATTGAACCTTGTGGTAAAATTTCATAGAGATCCATTCACTTAAACTTAAGTTAGAGTGCGAAAACCAATGTGTCTTCGGACGACGCCAACGTCATACCAATATACGACCACAAAAATTTTTTTGCGGTCGTATAAAAATATGTCAAGAATAGAGAAAAATGGACAAAAAAGCAAAGAACAGAGAATAATGAGGTGCTAAAATATAAAGAACAGGGAAAATGGTCTTAAAAAAATTTAAGAATACAGAAATAAAAGACCCCCCATCCAGACCCTCATATAATTAATATTAAATTTGTTTCTCAAGGAATACTTCTAAGAGTACCTGGTGCAATAAATCAATCACTTATCATGCTTATAGTGATTACTAAATTCAAGAAATTTGGTTTTACAGATAGATATTGCTTTTTGGTCAAAAAGATTACCAGCCCATGAATTTTGCAAATTTCAGCTGAAAATTTGACTTGAAACTTCTAAAACCATTCTGGGATGGTACAAATAACAGCTGGGTAACTGACTGATTAAAAAAATACTTTCAACTGTCAACAAATTGCTTGAAAAAGCTCCTAATTGAAGGCAAAATATAAGATGCAACATCCCTGGTCAATCACCACATACACACTGATGCAATCAAGATAACTGACAAAAGACGACAACATCTATGACCTGTTACACTTAGGGGCGCTAACATCTTTAAGAGGTTACTGTCCCATCAAATAACATTATACTTATTGTACTGACAGAAGCAATTCTCAAACAGATATTTTTATATTTATTATTTTGCCAGTGTTCACTGACCTTTAACCATTCACATTAATAATACTGGTATATGCAACAATGAATAAAGATCAGGTCACTGTCACTTGTATTTAAATTTTCTATGGAAATATGAAACTTTTTTTTCGCTGGTTGAGTTAATTCTTGATTGATCGGTTAAATTATAGGTTTTGGAATAATAAAAAAAACAAAAACAAAATTTACGAAAACTCAGAAACGTCAGCTGAGTGGAATAAATAATCTTCATGATTTTATTCACCTCATGCAGGAAAAATCAGTATTATCACTAAGGTGAGACCATGAGTCCTGGACTCATCATTCAGTGAGATGCATCAAAATTCTAAAACTTTGAACCAATTAACTGAGTCATGATATCTTCATTTCTTATGGAAAAAGTTTGCAAAATTAATATAAATTTTATGTTATTTCCTTGCTCTATTTTGTAATGGAGACTACTTCAATAATAAATAATATATAGCAATAACATTTCTTCTTCTAACTGTTGGACTAGCCATGGCCCAAGCAGATATTCCTTGGGCTGTTCCTATAAAATTCCTTAGCAAGAACCCTGAAAAACCTAAGGTACATGTACATGCATGGCACATGATAAAGAGCAGTCAGTAACTGCGAGTACTCTCAGATCTGTACTTATTGTCTTTTTTGTTGTTAGGGATGAGTTGATGTTTTTCTGCTTTGTATCGATCTGATGAGTTTACTACAAGCCTTTTTCTACTGATTTTTATAGTTTGTTCTTATGTTGTGTTGTTAGACCACTGTCCCAGGTTAGGTGGAGGGTTGAGCGCTAACAAACATGTTTAACCACGCCACATGAATTCTTTATGTGTCTGTCCCAAGTCAGGAGCCTGTAGTTCAGTGGTTGTCGTTGGTTCATGACTGTCATATTCGTTTTTAGTTAATTATTTTCTTATAAATTAGGCCGTAAGTTTTTTCAATTGAATTGTTCATATTTTTCATGTCGGGCCTTTTATAGCCGACTATATATGTGGTATTTTTTTTCTCATTGTTGAAGGCAGTACATACGGTTGCCTATCATTGCTTACATCCACTTTATTTGAACTTTGGTGAATAGTTGTATCATTGGCAATCATCCCTCATCTCCTCATTTTTTTATACATACATGTACATGTATATGCATGTACATTGTAGTACATCAATCATGTCAAAGAAACAGCAACCAAACAGAGCTCTCACCAAACAGAGTTCTCAAAATCTTTTATAGCCTGGAGGTCATAATGACAAATCTGGTAGACCTGTATATGCTGGGAGATTTTTGCCATCAATTACTTTCACATGTTTTAAATAAAATAAGGTCAATGTGCACAATAATCTTATGGTTCCATTTCCAATATTGATATACATTGTAATTAGGATATATACTACATTCAAATACCAGAAAGCCTGAAAAAGAATAAAACTACATCAAACATTTAGTAAAACATCTAAGGACTACCACTACACTCCAAATTAGTGGACCTTCCTGATTTTCAGTGGTCGGACCAACAGGACCGCCAGTTTTTTTAGAACACTGCCAAATGACATGTACATCACATCAGTATAGTTAAAAAAACAGCCTTAAATACATTTGACATGTATATACATACCGTTAATCTTTCCTTGGCATGAGCATATCTAAATCTCTGGATGTAGTAGAAAACAAGCCAGGCAAGGGAGATAATCATCAGCACAATGAACGAGATGGAAACAAATAAAACTGATGTCCTGCTGATATTATTCGTCGACTCAATTTGATGTTTGTTGCCAGAATCATGGGTCCTCGGTCCTACAGTTATGGCTAGTGTCACTGCATGCTCTAGATCTCTTTCTATTTTAGAGACTATATTTTTTCCGTCATTCTGACTGATGAATATTGTGACAACGTTATTATTTTCTGAAAGATATAACAGATAATTTAATAAAAGAAGAATGTGTCTCAGGACACGAATACTCCTGTTCAAGCTTCAAACAAACGAAAATGGGAGGGACGGATGGAAAGATGGAAGGTCAAGGATAACACTAGTACTTAATGCCGTCTAAAGGATGCTTCAGGGTTTACAATTACATAAAATGTAATTATAATTTGGGAAATATGAAAATGACAATTGGCAATACCTATCTGACTGAACCCAAATTTGCCTGACAATCGTCATGTGGTCAGACACATCTCAGGACCTCTGCTTTGCAGTACCCACAAGTTTACATGTACAATGTATTGGGTTAATTTATATTTAGTGTTATATATTATTAGTTCTCTTCCATTAAAATCATCATAAAATATACACCACTGCATAATAACAAACAAACAACAATCAAACAATCAAAATATACATGTGTGTATAAATAAAAATTTATTTAAATTTATTATTAAAAAAAAAAAATCTTTGAAAATTTGCATTGACAACAACATGAACAAAGGATGAACAAATAAATAAAATAAATAAAATAAATAATTACAATATATATGACTGTCGGTGAAAAAAAAAAACACAAATACATGTCAAATTTACATACAACATGTGCATGTAAATATAATATGTTTTCAATCATTAACCATATGTCATGCACAAATGCAACTAGATCAATAAATTCAATACATGTATGGGGAAAATATGTTTAATTTGATGTAAATGTAAAACTGCAGGTGTTTAGGGTTAAAACATGTATGGAAAAGGTCATTAACATTTTTGCATGCTTATAATATATTTTACATATGAAATATTTGTAAAGGTCATCATCTAAATCATGTAAATATTGATTTGTGACTTGCTTCCATCAACAAATGTTTATCTTAAATTTTAGTCTATTAGCTGAGTTGGTGAGGGCCCACTACAATATGTATAGTCTTAATTTATTGAAGATCGAGAACTCTGAATGTGTAACTTTTTCAAATTGATCTATAGCTAGAACTTAATTTAAAATTGTCAAAATTGAGAGTCAGGTTCTCAGTAGAGCACCTTGATGTGTTCTGGGACTTCCTAAAATTTCTGAAAAGAGGATCAATTCTCAGAAGTTTAATGTTTCTGACATACCTCACTGGTAGCCCATAGGATTTAAATGGAATCAAGTTACTTCACTAGATAGGCGAGAACATCTACCAACCAAAGACTGGCAGAGATCTCACATACATTTTGTAAATTTACATGTATGCTAGCTGTACTGCAACCCAGCCAGGATATAATACAACATGTACATCTGACCAATATACCACAATACATGTTCATGTATATCGAATATATCACTTGCTGGTTTCAGGTGTGGAGTACTAGTGATTCATTGAATCAGGGTGGTTGCTAGTGATTTTTGGTGAAAACGCTTAGATTAAATTAAAGTGAAAAGCATCCATTGGTTTATAAATTACATGTGTATGTACACATGTATAAATGTTGACAACTAATAAACAACCAGAGGTATTATATAACATGTCTAAAAGGAGTATTAAGAAATCTCGGATTTAAAGAAAGAATTTACATAGATGGGTATAACTAGGACAGTATCTTAATATATGTAAACAAGTCAATTATTGTAAACATGATATTATCATTTCATATTAAAAATATTAGCATAAACCTGTGTATCAATTTTATTGGCACAGCGCCAAATATGTGAATGACTGAGCAATCTAAAGTACAAATGTATTTATAGAATTATAATGTATCTAAGCATACATTTGTTGACTTTTTACATGTACATTAAAGTGAGCAATGGTGGCTAGATTTCAACTAAAAGCACCTAAAAATGATCCATCAAAGATTAAAATTATTCCCAATGAAAGGCAATTATTATAATGACTATACTGTACATGTGCATATTTAACATTTTAATTTGTACAAGTAATTACAAACAAATTAAAAAGAAAAAAATCATAAAAATAAAAAAAAAAAGGGAAAAAGTCCCGTTTTAATTATAAAACCACACAGATGTATATGTATCATGCAGCAAGAAAATCCAAACATTTAAAAAGCACCATCCGTTACAGCAAGCATGATCACACAAAATCTTAAAACAAGCAACATGTCAGCAAACAGACACACTTAGTACACATGTTTAATATATAGTCCAAGATTGCTTTTATGTCAGAAGGCCTTTTTAGGACTTGCTAAGCCCTGCATGGACCACATACATTGTTTTTTTTTTGTGTACATCCCCAGCAAGTCCTAATAAGGGAGTCAAAAGCAATCCAAAATTACATTTCTATATACTTCTCTCCGAATACATTTTGTATCTACTTTTGGTGCATCTTATAATTAAGGTAAAACACTTAAGTTGATTTCTTTTCTGAGAATGGAAGTTATTTTGTTTGATTGATTGATTGCTGTTGTTTAACTTCATTTACAGTTCCATTGGCTAATAATCATGGCGCCCAGTTGTCTTTGGTGGAGGGAGCCGAAGTGCTCCCGAGAGAACCACCTACCACCTTTCAGTAATAAAACTGGCAATCCTAATTAATCAAAATTGGAGGTGGAACGCTTGTGCCACGTAAAGGATCCCTTCAAAGACAAGAGTGACTAGCCTGATCCTGCAGTGTTTCAGATGCATCAAACGGAATGAGTTTGGGTTTCACTTTTCATTTTTTTCTTCAAAATTTGAACAAATGCATTATGCTTTTACTTTATGGACAAGTTGATCAGTAAAACCTTGCCTTGGTCATGTTGTCATGGCAGCAACTTGTACAAATGTACATGTACATGTACAAATGTAAATGTGGCCAAAATGGACATTTGCATAATGTTTAAATGTATATAATCATTCACATTCGCCAGTGGCAGACTGGCAGTACTAGTTGCCTTTTTATGATCACATGTGGATTATGCATGATACTAAAATGCATAACACAATGTACATGTACATGTATGCTGTCTGGGTTCTGAATTTTTTCAGGCAAGTTCATTGGCTACCCATCTTTGCCCAAGGTGCGTCAAAAGAATTAGTTATATGTAAGTCTCCTTTACAAAAGGAAACTTTTAAAATCATTACTTTTAATCTTTTTCAATTAAGTGATGATGACCAAACTCAAATGATAACAATGTTGATGCATCTTTGGACTTGTGACCAGTTCAAAAGACAAAGAGTCCAGCTGATTTTTATCCGTCCAAGGCCCTGGACTCTACTGTATTCTAACAGATTTAATTAACACAACTTCTACTGCATTTGGTCTCTGGTGGAGAGTTGCCTCATGGGCAATCATACCACATCTTCTTATTTTCATATTATACATGTACTCTTTATAACAGTACAGAAAACGTTTAAGTATATGTATTTTGTGGCAAATTATAAATATGTTCTGGTACATTTGGACTCTGTATTAAAAGTGCATGTAAATGTAAGTTAATATACATGTACATGTATTTATATTTACATACATGTATATAGCTACAAAATGTACATGTCCATATAATACTGACTAACACTTGCTACCAGAGTGACTTAATTTCCTTTGAAGCAGTGAGTAAACATTGTATGAAATAACTAATTACAAAAAAGCATTGTACATGCACAATGTACAATGTATGCATGTGTCACAGTGTGTTTTGGAGTAATGTCCTGAATCAAACTTAAAAAATATTGGGAGTTCATGGCCAGGACAACATCCATTTAGCAAGAGAGAATATGCATGTACAACATGTACAATGTACATTTGTACATATCAATACCAAATAAATAGTCTATTAAAAGCTCAAATAAACTAGAAGCCTGTGTCACTCACCTGCATCTTCCACAATGGCCACTTTTTCATAAAAATCATCACAAAGGGCAATGACTCTATCAAGAGTTATATGTACAAAAATGTATGACAATTTCAGTCCTGTTGACGTATTAGTACATTTTGTAGTTCTAGTCCTTCTGTCATATCTGATTATTTTTGCTTTTTAAAGTTTCTATAGAGATTTACATTTGTATCTATTATAATTTCCAAGATAATAGACAAAAATGCCCCAAAAAATGGTAAAATCAGCATTAAAGGGCAATAACTGCAATACAAAAATGTAACTACATGTACATTAATGTAGCTTGGCGACTTAAGATTTCAGCCATGATGGCATATTTGTAGATCTTGTCTTGCTGATCATATTTGCTATTTAAAGCTCCTTCTTATTTTATATACATGTACATGTATCTATTAATATAATTTTTTAGAATCATAGACAAAAATGCAAAAAAATATAAATCATAATGACATTAAAGGGCAATAACTTCAATAAGGAGTCGTCTGACAATTTCAGCCATGTTGATTTATTTGTAGATAGACCTTGTCAAAGATTGCTGATTATTTTGTTATATTAAGATTATTTCTATATATCTATTATAGTTTTCAAGATAATAGGCAATTATGAAAAAAATTGGTTCAATTCGTCATTAATAAGTACAAAAAAATGTACCCCCTAAAAGAAGTCGTCTGATATGTCTGACAGTTTTGAATTTAATGGACAGAAGATACATGTACATGTAGATCTCAAAATGCTGAATATGTCTGCTCCTGTCAGATTTTATCCATTCAAAAATGTTTTCAAGATGATAGACAAAATTTACATTTCACCCTTATGTTCTTTTTTTTGTCATGTTTTTCCATGTTGGTTGGCTGGCAGCTAGGGTAATCTGCCACAATTCTTTATCTAGATACATGTATGTACATCATAGTACATGTATATACCCCAAAGATGATTGTGGGTAAGTTTGGTTAAATTTGGCTCAGTAATGTCAGAGGTTAAGATTTTTGTAAAAGTTACTGTGACTTGACTGTTAGTGTTGCTCTCCACCTATTGCAACTTATTCAAAATTCTGGCCAAATTGTAATTTGTTTTATAAAACCAAACTGTTCAACTGGTCAGAAATTTGAACAAACTGCTGTAGAAAACCACAGACAAGTCGTGAAAGTGCAAGGTGTTAAAATAAAGCATATATACTTACAATCCTATAAGACTTTAATTCCATTTCAATGTTATTATGAAAAATCAGTCTAACAGTTTGTATAGAAATTTTATTGTTATTGTCATGCTAAAGGTGATGGATAGAAGTTTTGAATAAAATTGAGAATGGAAATGGGGAATATGTCAAAGAGACAACAACCCGACCAAAGAGCAGACAACAGCCGAAGGCCAACAATGGGTCTTCAATGCAGCGAGAAAATACTGCACCCGGAGGTGGTCCTCAGCTGGCCCCTAAATAAAATTGTGTGCTATTTCAGTGAAAATGGACGTCACACTTAACTCCAAAACATATAAATGAACTAAAATTAAAAAACATACAAGACTAAGGCCAGAGGCTCCTTACTTGGAACAGGGGCAAAAATGCGGCGGGGTTAAACATGATTTTTTGTGAGATCTCAACCATCTCCCTATACCTCTAGTCAATGTAGAAAAAAGAAACACATAGCAATACTCATAGTAAAACTCAGTTTAAAAGAAGTCTGAGTCCGATGTCAGAATAGGTAACAAAAGAAACTAAGCAAAATGACAATGATACATAAATGAACAAAGGACTACTAGCAGTTACTGACATGCCAGCTCCAAACCTCAATTAAACTGATTGAAAGATTATGTCTTCATCATATGAAAATCAAGTACAATCCCTCCGGTTAGCTATATAGGGGTTTAGTATCATACCATCATAAAATACATGTATATGAGAAGACCATAACCTGTATCATGCCAACAACTGGTTTTAGAATAAATGTGTTTATTTCCAATGCAAAGACAATATGAGTGAATCAATATTAATACCAAAATATATATGCAACCCCTAATGACTTGACAACAGTATCATAACTATATCCTTTCCGAATAAGTTTGTTTAAAGGTTTGGTTAGCTTTTGAGGTGAATGCCGACATTTTTGTGCTTTGTAAAGAATATTACCATAAAATATTGGATGTGAAATACCTGATGCGTATAACATGTCTGCATTGCTATAAAAATGTCCAAACTTACAAGTAGGTTTCATACAATTTTTCTTTCTCAAAGTCTTCTATATTCATAAAAAATTTAAAAATCAGACATCATTTGAATTCAAACATTTCATATTCAGTAAAATATGTGTGAAATTACAATACGTTGTTAGGAAGTTTCCATGGAAGATTATCAATTTTTCTTTCGAAAAGTCTTCTATATTCAAAAGAATAATGTTTTAGGTTATCTCCCATGGAAACTTATTAACAATGTATTGTAATGTTACATATATCATGTATATTTTACTGAATATAAGATGTTTTAATTCAAATGATGTCTGATTCTTATGAATATAGAAGACTTTTCGAAAGAAAAATTGTATGAAAGCTTTGTTTGGACATTTTTATAGCAATTCAAAACTTCTATCCATCACCTTTAGCATGACAATAACAATAAAATTTCTATACAAACTGTTAGACTAATTTTTCAAAATAACATTGAAGCGGAATTAAAGTCTTATAGGATTGCAAGTATGCTTTATTTTATCACCTTGCACTTTCACGACTTGACTGTGGTTTTCTACAGCAGTTTGTTCATATTTCTGACCAGTTGAACAGTTTGGTTTTATAAAACAAATTGCAATTTGGTCAGAATTTGGAATAAGTTGCAATAGGTGGAGAGTAACACTAACAGTCAAGTCACAGTAACGGAGGACAAGGACAACAAATGCCAAGTGAGAAAAGCTCACTTGGCCCTAAGAAAACTCTAAGTAAAGACAATTTGACTCAGACATACATATAGACATGTTCATATTTGAATCACATTGAGACCTTCATCTAAACCTTCTCGACATCTTCACCTAGAGAGCACTGTATATAATATAACTTATATGAACCAAACAAAGGTACATGTACATTTGTATGACTACAAATGTTGTGAATGTACATGAACCTACATTGTAACATAATCATGATGTAAAGTTCAATAAGAAAATATTCATGCAGACATACATTATCATGATAATAACCCTATTCAGAGAAAGAGAAACCATATTTCTTTTACCATTGTTTTTTAAAGCGTGTGAAAAGCAACAAAAATAATGAAAATACTGGAATCCACTGCAAAAGTTTCTACTTTCACCCTTAGACTTCCTTTTGATTATATAATTAGACAGGCTCTGAAATCTGCTAAAAATTGATCATTGGATTTTAGTATTTCAATTTTTTCTATGAACTGATGGATGAATTATGATTTTAAAATAAACACATTTACAATTTAATGTAAATCAAGTTTAAAAATATCATTGAAAATTTGTTATCTGACTGAAGACTGTAATGTATTCTTAGAATTCTATACCACACATTCTCATGGATGGATTAAAATATTAAATGAGTTTTTATTGTCCCTAATTAATTTGTCTTTATACCAGCATTATTGCAATATTAAATCCAGCCCACTGAATATCTGTACATGAATATCATGTCAATTGGTCATGAACAGATACAATGTATGAATAAAAGGAGATGTGGGCTTAATATTTCAATTAGATAGCAACCGATGACAATAATACCACAATACATAAAGGGGTCAACTTTCATCATTCATGACATACATGTAGTCTTTAATAGATAATAATTATCTAATAATGAAGACCTGTGCAATATATACAATGTACATGGTGTAGATCTACATCATGTACATATTATTTAAATCTCTAAGTTGTCCACAGTATAAAATAATAATTTTGAAAACATGCATGTATACAATTTTATTAGGACCAAAACAAAAAAATCTGAGTCTAGCTACATGTAATTATTGCAATTTGTTAAAGTGTTTTTGCGGCCTGGCTGAGTTGATAATAAACAAATGGCAGCTTATATAACTAGGGTGCTTGCAATTCTGTAGATGAAATGTAACCTTAAACCTGATATACGACCTACATGACAGATTCACACTCAAATTCAATAACATTGGAACAATATTAATTGCAACTGTTCAAAAATTTCATGAGATTGTTGAAAAAACTGGACCCTATTTTCATTGGGCATGCAACAGGATACACTCCAATTTTTTTTTGGCCTTAGTTAGTGCCAGTTTTGGAAAGGAGCATTGAAAAGTTCAGCCACATGCCTCGAACTGTAATCAGACAATAAACATTCAATGGTATTTTTAAACATAGTGTATTTTGCCACATGTCAATTATGGAAAGTATGTATGTAACCATGAGACTTGCACAACACTACACAGTAATCCAGCCATTATTATGTTAGATATGTACATGTAATACCTGAAGGATCTGCAGACAGCTGAATGATCTCTGAAAATTCAATTGTGAATTATACATAAAATTCTTTTATTTTATAGTACAATGTACATGTAATTAAGTACTATCATGACTGCAGTCGAAAGAAGAGTTGAAATACAAAGCCACAAAATTTATATTAGGGAATAATATAAATCAATCTATTAATTAATGGAATCATCAGGAATATGCGTGAAACTTTTTCAAATTAAATTTCAGTATTCATCGACACATAATTAGATTCTGTCTTTTCCTTGTAAAATTTCTATTCGTCTTTGTAAGTGCATTAAACCAGAATCCCCTATTAAATTCACTGCATAAAATATGCATGCATACATTTTGTACATGTAGACACCTACCTGGTCCAGACATGCCAGTTACATACATGTACATGTATACAGTGTGCACCAAAATCCCTTTTATTTCAACTACTAGTCCAAATGTTTTGCAACTTGGGAATTATTGGATACATTGTAGCTGCATTTAGCTTTTAAATGGATGTCTTTGTTATACAAATGTTATAATGCACATCCCAGGGTCTAATCATACAAAGTCATTCTTATTTGCATATATTTGTAAATATTTCCACAAATATATTTTTTATTGAAATGTTGTATTAACTTACATCTTGTGATTTCCTACATTGTACATGTAAGTTAATACAAAATATTGTGAATTTTCATGAAACTTATCACAATTCGGTGACACACCAAGTAAATTTCTGCCAACAAACAGGTAACCTGTCTAGGGCTCATGCACAGGTAATAGATAAATGTCACAGCTCAGTAAGCATCTATGTAAACAACCTGGGAATTATTGGATAGCTGCATTCAGCTTTTAAATGGATGTCTTTGTTATCATGAACATCCCAGGGTCTAATCATACATTCATATTTGCATATATTTGTAAATATTTCCACAAATATAAATTACATGTACATGTTACCATACATGTAATTTTGTCAAAAGGTTTGTGAGCAAAAAACTGCTTATATAATATAAGCACTATTCTTTAATGATATTGATATAGACAATTAATAAATAATATTTAAAATTTCCAGAACACAATTATTTTCTTACCTATAGACTTCTGAATGTTTGGATAAAGTGTCTTAGTATTCTTTGTTGTTTCATTGTTGTAAAAGACTACTGCACATGCATTGAATTTCTGTGCTATTTTCAACTTTTCACTAAATTTGCAATCTCCCCTTTCAATTAAAGCTATCCACTTTTTATTGACGGGTGCATTGACGAGATCAGTGCAGCCATCAGATTTATTTTTCTTAGTCTGAACGTGAATAACGTCTGCTGTTTCTGGTCCCAATTTTCCATATTTGACGTAATGACCCATCTGCTTCGACTCCGAAACAAATTTTTCTTCTTTGGGATTGAAATATGTCATGTTCACTTTAGCTGTAAAATAGTCATTTGCTGTTGAATCTGATGAACTTGTGGCAGAGGCTTGACTAAAAGCCAGACTAAACAACACTGTTACAATACACAAACAACATGGCCTCCATTTTGGTTTGGCAATAAAATGATATGAATAAATTTGTCGCGAATTAATCCAAGTTGACGACATGATTTCACAATTAAATAATGATATTTCAAAACTATATTATTTGTCAATCACAATTCACACTGTATAATTTCAGAATAAACAACCAATGGTCGTATTTTAGATAAAACATATCCGAATTCCAACATTATTTGTCCCTGAATAACATTAGCAATGTTTTTCTCTGTGACGTAAATGGGCATGTGATCACATTTTTGCAAGTGGCGACACCTGTAAACAAATCGTATTTTATGAATGACATGTCAAATAAAGGTCATCAGTCCAAAACCAATTCTGATCAACTAGGTCATTTTTATAATGTTGTTTTAGATTTGTAACCAAATTCGATGCCCCCCGCTCAATCATAATGCATCTACTGGCAAACGTCACAGAGAATGGTGGTGTCTTCCACGACGTCCGACTTACAAATACAACATTGTGCTCTCTTTGATGTTTCGACCTTGATATGCATGAAATGTAACTGCTAATTATGTAAAACTTTTTTTGTTATTTTGTTTGTTTACCTAAATATTATCGTCATAAAAGGATCAGGTTATGGATATAAATGAACAAATATTACCAGAAGTTCGCTTTCAAATCACTACTAGGGCAACACTAAAAAAATATTGACTGAGACAATTCGGTCCTACATTTTGTAAATAATGTAGTTACATTTTTTTAAATACAATATGATTAAATTATTGCGTTTTAACTATTGTGTTGTATGTCCGAAACAATGTTACAGTCGACATATTTTTGTTGTAGGTTTCATGGTATTAATTACATGAATAAGTGTCACGTATTCATATATTGTACATATTGTATGATATTTCAATCAAAGTTATATTCGTTTTTCTCTAAACGTATGCTCATTGTGCCCCCTGTTGGTCTATAACTGGTAGTAAAGTATGTTCAGTGGGGGCCCACTGACTGCCTGAGAGGGGGCCCGCTCCGGTCATGCTTCAGTGACTTCTCTATATAATCAACCAAATTTTTCCCAGAAAAGGGGAGGGGGCCCGGGACCCTGCCCCCCCTAAATCCGCCTTTTGATGTTGTTATCAAAAGTGGCCTAATGCATTCTGGCTGGGACATCTATTATTTTTAATTTTCCGGTCAGAAAAAAAATATTGATTTCATCCCTGGCCATCTAATTAAGATTCAATACAGAATATTAATTGTGTATATAAGTTAAAAGAATTGTCATATTTTCCCGTGTCGCGGAATGTCACGAGTCAGATCAAAGCTTCTCCAGTATGTTTCACGTCCGCTTGCTGGTACTTTAAGGGCTTAAGTAGGGTACCCCTTTAAGTCACAAAGTTAATTTTAAAAAGTTGCCTCAGGTCAACACGGTTTACTTTTAAGCAAGATATACAGTTCTGATCTGATTCTCGGTTCTGAAATTTTTAAATGTCACAGCTAGGTCCCTTTAAATGAAATGTCAGGTCGCAAGGTCGACCACCGAAACCCTCCCAAGGTCCCAAGTCGGATTTTACCATAGTTTTATGGATGTTCAGTAGGTTAAAAAAAAACAACAATCAGAAATATTTTAGAAATTCTTCAACTTTTCAAGGAACAAAATCTATGTATTTGCCATGTTGTTGAAGACTGTGTCTTGTTCTATAGAATTCGTCGTGTGAATCTTATAATAATGTATTTCCTTTTTGGTAATCGTGGTAAAAATTTAAATTAAAGTTTAAAAGCGCAATATCATAAATATTTGACTGAGACATGAAAGGTTACACAGGAACCGAATTTAGGTACACGAAGAGTAACTCTTTGATCGATTGTTTGTTTTATTAGACAAGCAACTTAGATAAATAAAGTATCCCCTTTTTTGGAGATAAAACATTTTTTGGAGATAGAACATTTCACTACTAACGATGTACTTTTAAAAAATTATCCCTATATTTCCATTGGAGATTAACCATGGATTTTAAACTTTGTAATATCTCCAATTCTGTACTGCTGGATTTGATAATAATTGCTCATAGATTGAGTTCAAACCATGCAAACCATTTAATCGTAGTACTACAAAGATGATTTTGATAACAATTATTTAGTATCAAAAATACATGAGAAATAGTGGAGAAACAGCACTATAAAAATGTTTTTCTCTGAACTAACTACATGAAAAAACTATTATAACCCAATTAGAGAGTGAAGATAGACCAGTGTAGCTCTGGCAAAAACTCGTAGAGTGTAGAAATCTCGTATTATAGTTGTATAGGGAGATAGACCATTGCACTTGGATCTCAAATATATAGCTATCTCCATTTTTATCAAGAGTGGACATATAACACTATAAGATTCACACGACGAGATGCCTTTGGTTGTTCATCTGCTACTGGACTAAGAACTGTCTCATTGGCGTATGCATGCCATGAAGTAGGAGTTCTTTCATAAAATTATTTCCAAACGAAAGTAATATTCTTGAATATTATTTCCACACGACCGAATATTACAATAATTGTTATTTTTAATTTGTTCCTAACAGAATAAAGGGTATAGAATATTTGTTCCAACGGGAACAGAAATTATAGCAAAGGGGACTTCTGTTATGCGTAACTAATATGCGTTGACATGTATACCACAATATGGATCGTGACATCCTTTTATCCATAGAATCGAGAACGGTACCGAGTAAAATTCTATATTATGTTATTATGTTTTGCTCTTTTGGAATTAAAAAAGTCTTTTTCTGGTGACTTGATGTCTGCAATTAAATCAATGGAGACTGTCGGCGGACTAAACAAACATCACTCGTCTAAACTCGGTCGATTCCGGCCGTTCCTCCATCAAAGTAAAGTAGCGGACCTGCCCGAGTATCGCAATTAAAAAAAATATGTTCATTTTACATATTTAGTAAATACGTATTTAAATGGGGGGTTGGGGGTTGGGGGGGTTGGGGGTGGTCTTCATATACGTAATTTTTGATGCCACGTATATTATATTCTTCAGTTTATTTGTCCATCATTCTCTACTTCCCTATATTTTAGAAACCCTTTATTCTCTAATTATCATTGTTTAGCCCCTTATTCTATATTCATTATTTTCTAGCCTATTATTCTCTTTTCTTAAACTCATCCAAGATCTCATAAAATTGATTTCATTTCCTTGTAAAATTTTCTAGTTTCAATATAAAAATCTATGCCAACCAATTATTGAGACCAAAAATAGCTGTCGCAATTTCCTATTGAACATATTGTTTTATTATTTTTTAAACAGAAGAAATTAAGAGGCGTAATGATGAGTGTATATTTGTTTTGCATAGTTGTAATGTAAAATATCTCAACCAGTTTTGGAAATACCCTTATTTCCAAAACTGATTGAGATATTTTACAAGGGTATTTCCAAAACTGTTTGAGATATTTTACATTCCAAAAATAATTGTGTTTTCAGCCCATTATTCTTTTTGCAAAAGTTTTGGGGCAAAAAAGTAGTTGTCACATTATTTCCACAAGTTTATAAATAAAGAAGAGTTAATAATGATTTTGTCGGCTTTCAGGAAAAACGCATGCCTGAAACCGAAAGAGATAATTCTATAAACTATCGCACCATATCATTAACAGATACAGATAATTTTATTAACCAATCAATGTGCCCTTTGAAGGACAGATTAATTACAATGTAATTATTCACAAGTAATAGCTTTTCTAAAAAGCTAGACGTCTTTATCTGATGAAAATGGAAAATGTTTTCGCTTTGTAGTTTAATTCATTCAGAATAGCCTTGTATATAAATTGTAGTGGATTACAAAACTTGTAAAAGGTTTATACATTTTTTTAGATTTACCAATATCTTTTTCGCGGGAATATATACATACTGGAAACGGATGGATAATGTCTTAATCATCTGCGTTTGTAGCAAACTTTTGAAAATATTTTTTTTTCAGTTTTTTCTGATAGATGGACTTAGTTTTTTTTACAGTTTAGATTAACAGACAGTCTGGTATTAAACTTTTTTGACATTTTAAAACCTTCATGGATTGTTATGAAACTTGGACATAAGCTAATCTTCAAGACCAAGAAAAAAGCATCTAAAGAAAAAGTTTGAATTTTTTTTCTAAATTCTTTATACTCATAAATGGACTCACTTTTTAAGTCAACATTACACCTTTACACCGATAGCAGCAATCACAGGCGAGACACAGGGTTCCGCAGAACCCATTATGAATTTTTTGCTATTAAGATATTTTTGTACATGTATTCACATCTATGCTATATATTATAGCTAGACTTGGGAGGATTAAGAACTTTAAATATTGTAATGAAATGTCCATTGTAAAAGAACGTATGTTGAACTTTAGAAGTAGATTGTTTTGTTTGTTGTTTAATTGGGTTGCTTTCTAAATACATTATGTAGTAGAGAATTGATTAGAAGTAGTGGATTCGTAAACGATGATCAACGAGCGACTTTAGTCGCAAGTTGATTATCGTTTCCGAATCCACTACTTCTTATATTTCCCTTTGGAGTTTTTTTAGTCTTCTGTTCTTCAACGTCTGATATCTTGATAGGAAGAGCTAGGGAGAGCTATTCATTGAAAATAAATGATTTGGATATATCCGTTTTTAATGTTTTTTTTCTGCCTTTTGATTATCTTACTAAGAATTAATATCTATAACCTAAGAAAAAAGCAAGCGCGGTGTTTTCCTATGTTTTCATGTATAAAATGTACGTAACTTGGCAGTGAGGGACTGGATTGAATGTGAAATAATCACGTGTGTGTTTACGAAATTTTAGGAGTTTCGGCTATTTATAGACAAGTGTTACCTGTGTTCCGATATGCATGATTGGTAATCAGGCAAATTCTAATTGCTAAAATAAAGAGTTCAAATCCGACACTCTACGGGATTAACAGACATTTACTAGGTTATGATTGTCCCAACCAATCAACGAATCACTATTAGAGTCAGTATCTTCCAATCAGATAGTAAGAAGCATTCATCCCACAGACTGTGCATCGTTCAACTCTTAAGACCGTCTCCGAGGAGACGATAATAGCATAAGAAACAAACTAAACAATTATAAAACACTTGTCCTACCTCCATGACAAATATTTTGTTGTCCCCGTAGATACAACATCGTTTTTGTGTGTAAATATCATTACATAGACTGCTTGATAAATGAATTAGGTATTGACAATTCACTTGGAAACTCAACATATACCCTCACGACACTTACCAAAGAGGAAATCCTGGATAATCATAGGTCTGTTCTATGTTCCTTTGGAATTTCAACCAATGATGA